TGGGTTCAATTCCAGACCTGAAGGGCAGCTAGGGGCCATAGTCTCAGTGGTTCCACCAGGCTCTATTGGACCAGCAAACCTGGTCCCCACCTTTTAAAATAAAGTAAGTTTTGGAATAAAAACATCAGGTGGCAGAATCATTGCACAGTTTAACATTCTGAAGAAGCCCAGGTGGAACAATGGTTAAGTGCTTGGCTGCTACCTGAAAGTCTAGCGACTTGAACCCACCAGTAGCTCCACAGAAGCACAGACCTGGTAATCATTCCCCTAACAATGACCGTCTAGGAAGCTCAACAGGGCAGCTCTACTTTGTCGGCTAGGGCTCCTATGAGTCAAAACCGAGTTGACGGCATACAACTTTGTGCTTATGTGAAGTTTCTAACCTTTCAAAAATAAACACATATTACTTACATCATAAAAAGGGATTAAATTCTTTTGAAAAAAGTGTCAAAATGTCCCCAGGAAGAGGCTTTACTCCACAGATCCTGTGTGCCTTATGTTTATTCTAAAACAGTTGTCAATGAGGGGTAATTTTGCCCCACCATGGATGTTTGTCAATGTCTGAGACATTTTTTTGGTGTCATATCTGAGGGCACTACTGGCATTTAGTAGACAGAAGTCAGGGACACTGCTCAATATCGTACAATGCACAGGACAGGACTCCGCCACAAAGAATTACCTGACCTACAAGGTCAATTGTACCAAGGGTGAAAAATCCTGGTCTAAAAGATTAACTAGAATGAATGAGAAAGAACTTCTTTTCCAGAGTCTATTTAATCTTCAACTGATTGTTCACAGAAAGGTAAATTAATTTTCACAAAAACACGGGGAGCAGTCTACATTGGACTGGCCTAATTCAACTTTATTTCCAAATCAATCTCAGACATAAAGTCTCAATATTTCCCTGGGTCACATTCAAACACAGTCCTACTCACTAAAGCCAGCAGATGTCTCTTTATGTGAAAAAGCCATTGTTCCTCCAGCCAATGTTTACCATGGACATCTTAATAAAGTGGTAGTTCGTGAGAACAAATTACTGGAAGCTCTAAAATGGGTCACATTTCTGTTTATCTCAATGTTGTTGTTGTCATTGTTAGGTGTTGTGAAGTTGGTTCTGACTTACAGCAACCTTACGTACAACAGAATGAAACACTGCCTGGTCCTGCACCATTTTCACAATCGTTGTATCTGAGCTCACTATGTGGGCTCTTTCTCACTGACAGCCTCTACATCAGTCCATCCTGTTGAGGGCCTTCCTCCTTTTCAGTGACCCTCTACTTTACCAAGCATGATCTCTCTCTAGGCACTGGTCTCTTCTGACAACAGCTCCACAGTACAGTAGACCAAACTGGACTATCCTGGCTTCCAAGGAGCATTCTGGCTGTACTTTTTTCAAGACAGATCTGTTTGTTCTTCTGGAAGTCCCTGGTATATATAATATTCTTTGCCACACCACAACTCCAGTGCATCAATTCTTCTTTAGTTTTCCTTATTCATTGTCCAGCTTGGACAAGCATACCAGGCAACTGAAAACACCATGGCTTGGATCAGGTACACCTAAGTTCTCAAAGTGACATTTTTGCCTTTTAACACTTTAAAGAGGTCTTTTGCTGCAGATTCGTCCAATGCAATATGTCATTTATTTCCTGACTGCTGCTTCCAAGGGTCCTGACTGTGAATCCAAGAAAAGTGAAATCCTTGACAACTCCAGTCTTTTCTCCATTTATCATGATGTTGCTTACTGGTCTAGTGGTGAGGATTTTTGTTTTCTTTATGCTGAGGTGTAACCCATACTGAAGGCTATAGTCTGATCTTCATAGGTAAGTTCTTCAAGTCATCTTCACTTTCAGCAAACAAGGTACGTCATCTGTATATCTCAGGTTAATAAGTCTTCCTCCAATCCTGATGCCATGTTCTTCTTCACACGGTTCAGCTTCTCAGATTATTTGCTCTGCATAAGTATGGTGAAAGGATACAATCTTGACACACTCCTTTCCTGATTTTAAGCTACTTTCCTCGTTCTGTTTGAATGACTGCCTCTTGATCTATGAACAGATTGCTCATAAGCACAATTAAGTGTTCTGGAATTCCTGTTCTTCACAATGTTATCCATAATGTGTTATGATCCACACAGTTGAACCCTCTGCACAGTCAAGAAAATACAGGTAAATATCTTTCTAGAATTTTCTGCTTTTCCAATCTGACATCACCAACATATCCTCATTCCATATTCTCTTCCAAATCTGGTTTGAATTTCTGGCAGCTCCTTGTTGATGTACTGGTGTAACCATTTTTGAATTATTTGCAGCAAAATTTTACTTACATGTGATACTAATGATACTGTTTGATAATTTCCACATTCTGCTGTATCACTTTTCTTTGGAATAGCACAAATAAGGATCTCTTCCAATAGGCTGGCCAGGCAGCTCTCTTACAAATTTCTTGGCATAGACAAGTGAGCACTTCGAGCCTTGCATCCATTTCTTGAAGCATCTCAACTGGTACTCCATCAGTTCTTAGAGCCTTGTTTTTTGCTAATGCCTCAGTACAATGTGGACTTCTTCCGTCAACACCTTTGGTTTTTGATCATGTGTTAACTCCTGAAATGGATGAACATCAACCAATTCTTTTTGGTACGGTGACTCTGTGTATTCCTAGCATCTTCTTTTGATGCTCCCTGTGTCATTCAATATTTTGCCCATAGAATCCTTCAATAGTGCAATTCAAGGCTTGAATTTTTTTTCTTCAGTTCTTTCAGCTTGAGGAATATTGAACATGTTCTTTTTTGGTTTTCTAACTTCAGATCTTTACACATCTCATTCTAATACTCTGTTTTCTCAAGCTGCCTTTTGAAATCTTCTGTTCAGCTCTTTGACTTCATCATTGCTTTCATTTGTTTTAGCTACTCTCTGTTCAAGAACAAGTTTCAGAGCATCTTCTGACATCCATTTTGGTATGTTCAGTCTTTTTAATGACCTTTTGCTTTCTTCATATATGAAATCCTTGATGTCATCCCACAACTCGTTTGGTCTTACATCATTAGTGTCATTGCAGTTAGTGTCAAATCTATTCTGAGATGGTCTCTATATTCAGGTGGGATATACTCAAGATTGTACTTTGGATATCATGGGCTTATTTTAACTTTCTTCAGCTTCAACTTGAATTTGCATATGGACAATTGGTGGCCTGTTCTGCATTTGGTCCCTGGCCTTGTTCTGATTGGTAAGATTGAACTTCTCCATCATCTCTTTACACAGATATAGTTGATTTGACTTCTGTGTATTCCATCTGACATGGAATGGTCATCACCTATGTTGTTGAGAAAAGGTAGTTCCAATGAGTAGGTCGTTGGTCTTGCAAAATCCTATCTTGCAATCTCAAGGATCATTTCTACACCGAGGGCCATATTTTCCAAAAACTGATCCCTCTTCCTTGTTTCCAGCTTTTGCATTCCAATTGCCAGTAATTATCAACACATCTTGATTTCATGTTTAAGACTGCAGAAATTGGTAAAAAATCTTGAATTTCTTCATCACTGGCATTAGTGGTTAGTACATAAATTTGAATAATAGTTGTATTAATTGGTCTCCTTCGTAGGTATATGGATGGTATCCTATCACTGACAGCGTTGTCTTTCAGGAGAGATACTGAAATGCTCTTTCTACAATTAATATGATGCTTTTCTTCAATTTGTCATTCCTGGCATAGTAGATCATATGATCATCTCAAAATGGCCAATACCAGTCCATTTCAGCTCACTAAAAGCTAGCATATCTGTCTTTAAGTATTCCATTTCATTTTTGACAATTTCCAATTTTCCCAGTTCATATTTCATACATTCCACATTCCAATTACTAATGGATATTTGCAGCTGTTTCTTCTCATCTTCAATGCCCACAACGCGATGCCATAAAAACTCTATTTTCTTCAAAGTCTCTTTCAATAAAGCTTAGGATTCTTTGCCAAAGGCAAGATTCCAGCAACTAAACAGGGAGCTATTTCTTGGACCTTGACTCCATTCTCTGGACAAACTTAATTTATATACTGGAATATCTCAGCCTAGGTCATGGAAAATTTAAAAAACAAAAGAAGCAGTAGAAACAAGCCAAAGCAATGATAAGTTGTCTGAGGGCTGCAGCCATAAAATGAATACCAAGTCAAAAGGAAACAACAATTTTTTTCACAAATGGCAAAGAGCCTGAAGAGTAGAAACAGACATTCTGACCTCACTGGCCAGTCATAGCAACTTGGCCCCGTAGCAAATGTACACCAGGGTGTACACAGAAGGGCTACAGCCAGAGAAGCCTGGGGAAGGGGAAGACTAGGAAAAAAAATGTTTCATTTCCCTGAAATTCCTGACTCTGGTTCCAGTTTATTCTAGTCACAGTTTTTTCTCATCCTCCGAGTTCATCTATAGATCAAAAGCTCATAAAGGGTAATAAGTACCATGCTCAGTGTGTGACTCCAGAGGAATTTTTGAACTAGGAACCATCATGCACCTGTGTAAGGTAATTTACTGTTATTTATATATTACTCTACATTTACAGTATATAAATATATACTACGTATAGGGTATAAAACCATACCAATGAGAATATTCCAACATACGTGAGGATTTGGTTCCATAGTGACTCTTGAATAAGTATAAGGAAGTTCTCCATACCATGCCGTAAGTCTTGGTTGCTGATAAGTTATATCTAAGAAAGAAAATACAGGGCCTTTGAAATGATTTCATGCTATTTAAGGTGTACCTACTGAGACTCAAATTTGTATCCTGCAATGTTCAAGGAGCTACCAAAAATACAAAGGAAGAGTAAGGATGGGCTGTGACCAAGGCTTCAACTTCAAACAAAAACTTGGGGTTTAAGGGGCAGAGTGGTTAAGAGTCAAAAGGAAGAAAAGACAAGACTTTGGCAGAAAGAATATTGGCTAAGACTCAGATGAGAACATATGCGGCTTACTTATGTCAGTGACGACATAAACAAGTGTGAAGCAGTCATGAGGGCACAGTGAAGTTCAGGTCAGGAAGGGTTTCAAAGAGCAGAATCCTGGGTGTGTAAGCCTTGAAGGGAGGAATCTGTGGCACCATTGTCCATGTTTAGAAACAAGACAAACTGTTCATCTGTGTGTCCAATGGAATATACACCCTTTTGATTTCAAATGAAGAAAAAAGTGCTCTGACCAACTATATCATGTAGTTGATTTTAATCAGAAGTGTCTGATATCCAGATTTACAGAGGAAGATGTCCACAGGTCTGCTATTTTTCCTACAACTGATATCAACCACCACAACAATAAGAACAATAATAAAAGCAACTAACATTCACTGAAGGCTTATTATGTAATAGGTATTCTGTTAAGGACTTACCATCTACTATCTCATTTAATTAACACAACAATCTTATATTAATCTTTGTATTAGTTCCATTGTACAGAGAAAAAAACCAAGGATCAGAGTGTTACTTTACTGGAATTTGCTTAAATTATCTATTACTTTGAATGACACAGCTAATAATCAAAGCCAAGTCTATCATCAAAAGTCCTATTATGGCAACTGTTTGGAAAAGGCTGTCCTGGAAAAGCGATCTCCTCTTCTGATATATGAGCCACAAAAATGAAGCTTGTGTGTATTTTGCCTTTCTTTACAAAAAATTTAAATTCACTCATTGTCCCAGAATGAAAAGTCTATGCTAGAGCTCAGACGCCCCCTAGTGACTACCTCTGGTACAACAAGTACTGATGATCGTGGATACCCAAAGAAGTAGGTGTCAAGTCAGGTAATCAACTATGCTGTGTTATTCTTTAAAGGATATGGTGGTACAGTGGTTAAAGAACCCACCAGCTGCTTCATGGGAGAAAGAGAGGTCATCTGCTTCTGTAAAGATTTACAGCCTTGGAAACCCTACAGGGCAGTTTCTACTCTGTCCTATACGGGTGCTATGGGTTGGAATCAACTTGATGGTAGGGGGTTTGGTTTGTCATCCTTACAAGCTCAAGAGAGTGCAGATGCTGCAACTAAAGGAGATTAGACTGTTCTGGTAAAAGTAAAATGAGAACAAAAAGTCAGTAAGAAGGATGACAAAAGAACATAGGTTAAACAGGATCAGAAAAAAAAAGTTCCAGAAGTTTCTATGAAGGAAGAGGAAATTTGGCACTATTTGAACTAATGAAAGCAGTCAACAAAGACAAATGGAAATAAACTCCAATCTCAGCTCGGCCAATCCAAACTTGCCCTGGTTCCCTGAACTGCTCTGTCGGTCCCCCACTCCTTTCATGTTCTCTATGACCTCTGGGCCTTCCACCTACTGTTTCTTCCTTGTTCCCTTTGGCTAATTCTTACCTAAGGTCTCAGGTTTTAATCCTCTGCTTAAAACCAGTTGTGGTAAGAAGAGGCAATGGCATTAGAAAACACTTCAGTGAGCGAGGCCAGGCAGCAATGACAGAGCTGTACTTACCCTCTCTGATGCCAGTCCTCTGTTTCCAGGGAACATCCTGACAAAGCTGTTCCAATATCCAGTCGGCTTCCTTTAAGTCAACAAAGCCAGGACACAAACGCAACCTTGATGCAGAAAGAACCGTTAGTAACTACAGAACACGGACAAGATGGGCTAGATTCTAATTGTTAGGGGAGGCCATCGGGATGCTTCCTTTAATGGGTGCATGAAATCATCTTAGCACTTTTCTCAGGGCAAGCAGAGCCTAGTATCTATCACACAGATCAGGATGCTCCTTACATAAAACAAATTCCTTTCCCGTTGAGACAAATAGGACAGGCAATGGAGGATAAAAGGATACATGAAAGCTTTTTTTTTTTTTTTTTTTAAAGCTAATCAGACAGATCATAGCTTAACTACTGCTCCACTACTGTGTTGCTGGGGACCTTGAGCAAGTTACTGAACCTCTGTGAACCTCAGTTTTCTCAACAGTAAATCAGTAACACGAAGATGGTATCTCCCTCATCTAGTCACTGTGAGAAGAAAATAAAGTAATTCATAAAATACCTGACCCCGTGTTATTTTAGTAACTGGCAGTCTTCTGAGACCATGTCAATTCTACAGAAAGTTGGACATCATTACATATGAAAATAAACAAAGCCAAATGAGGGCTCTTTCTGCCACTTAAAATATGCTTATTTCAACACTAAATCAGCTAAAAATATTTTTGCATCCCCTTAAGAAGTATTCTGAAAGTCCATAGAACATTCTCTTGAACAGCCTGAAAGGAGCAATCTTTTATTCTTTGAAGGTGCCTTTGATCTTCTAGAAGAGCCATCTGAGCTCACACTTGATTAACAATGAGATGTGACCAAAATAACACAACTGGTTTTCTTGTGTGACTGTGAAACTTGCTTGAAAGGGGGAGGTTCCATGAAGGCTTATGAACATCACTTGGAGCCTTCCAAGTCTAGCAGAATTGGAAGTAGGCCAATTCAGTTAGATTAGTAAGTTCTGATATATTAGTTTTAAATGCCTCATTACTTTACACTGACAACGAATATATTCATACATTAAGGCAATGCTTTCAAAATGTCTTCAAACAATGACTAATACCTACCATGAACAATGACTAATAACACACCATAAACAGTATATTCCTTCATTTTCTTGAAATCCACCCTAGTACAGCAGAAAGTCCCACAAGGTAGACAGAAGTTGAAGCTAGAGAGCTGTTACGTTGTGAGAAATTGTAGTCAATATCATGAAACAAATTGCGTATGAACTGATGTATGGAAAATGAATCTGCACTAACTTTCACCCAAATGACAATACAAATGAAAAGAAACAAGAAGTCAAAACTAGACCCAACTCTAACAGTAAGTTACTATTTGGCCCTGGGAAAAAAGTACTCAATCTCCTTAGTCCTCAATTACTCATCTGCAAAACTCAAGGAGTAATAGCTACGATACCTGTAACTATGTTCAAAAGCTGGATGTGCTACATGAAAAGGAGTTATTACCAAATTCTTGCTCCCCAAGAATTTAAGGGGCAGAAGTCACCTATTTCCAGTAAGGGAGTAAAATACTTTTAAGAGACTACCTTAATGAAGGGAGCTCTGGTGGCACAGTGGTTAAGGCATTAAACTGTTAACCAAAAGATTGGCAGTTTGAACCCACCAGCCACTATGTGGGAGAAAGATCAGGCGGTCTGCTTCTGTAAAGATCTGCAGCCTTGGAAACCCTATGGGGCAGTCTACTCTGTACTACAGAGCCACTGTGAGTCGGAATTGACTTGATGGCAGTGGGTGGGTACCTTAATGAAAATAGTACAGTCACTTTCTAGTGAGTATTCTCTTACCTAGACACACCTGTGGGTGACAGGCTGATTTCATACACACCCTCTCTGCTAAGGAAACAAAGGAAAGAGAATTGTTAGTATGAGGCAAAGCAATCCACTCCATCCAGTAGAAGAGCTGTCCTTTCGAGTTTCCCAAATTCTGGCTCAACAAAATCATTTAACTGTAAGGGAGCAGAATGAACACCTCCAGGTAAGGCGTGAGAGGACAGTAGCTCATCAGTGGCGCTGAGAACAGAACACTGACAGGATCAGGCCATGGAGAGGAAGAGTGGCGTAAAATAAATTCTGATTCTATCCTTTTCTATGTCATCCATAATTCAGACTGATAGGACCCAGAAATCTACCACACAAAGGGTGCCAAACAGCACCCAGTTGGAGACTTTGGAATAAGGGATGTATTTAACAAGCAGCAAATTAATCTCAGGGATGTGAACTTCCAGTGCTTTCAAAGACACATGTCTAATGATGTTCCTCCTTCAATATATCCCCATCAGCCTTTCACTACTTACCCAAGGTCCTTGTGACCGAGCTCCATCTCCTGACAGCTGAGTCCAGCTCTAGACAGTTTCTAACCCCATGCTTTTCTATGTGCGGGAATGTTTCCCTGCTACCCAGTACTCCCAATCCAACCCACTCCCAGCTCTAGGCCAATAGAAAGTTCATTCCTCCTTCAAAGTCTCAGCTCAGCATTACCTTCTCCAAATCATTCCTGACCTTTAATGTACCTAAATAACGTTGATCACCTTGTCCTGTGAGCTATCACTAGACCTTATATATGAATCTACTGTTTCACACTGAACAGGATTATAATTTATCTGTTTACATGTCTACCTCATTTACTAGACTGTGGGCTCCTGAGAGACAAGGACAACGTTATTACTGTTCCCCAGTATCTAGCACATAATAGATGAGCATTAAGAACTTACTAAATTTAATCAAACATGAGAAAGTACAGAACTGCTGTAGATGTGCAGTGTCATGAGATCCATGGTGAAAAGAATGAAGCAGGCTGGATATATGTGTCTATCAAAGCAACTGAGTCAAACCCTCCTGAGAGAGACATGTTACAGAGAAGAGTATACAGGCACAGTTTCCACATTACCCTGTCACGTGAGTTTGTAGATCATGATCTCTTTATCACCAACAGAAGCAATTCCACACTGGTATTTGTAAAATAAAGACTGTTAGAGCTAGACTGGGCATACAATCATTATATAGTCCCAACCCCTAATTTTACAGACAAGGAAACTGAAGTCCAGAGAGGTGGTAATAAACTACCTAAGGACTTGCTAAATAGCTAACTAGTGGCAAGGCCAACATTAGATATCCTCTTTCCAAGAATGCTTTTAGTTTCAAATTTTTGGAAGATAATATAAGCCAACCTGCAAACAGCCAAACATTGTAACAGACTGCTCCTGGACAATAATGTACACATAATGTTAATCTGATAAAATAAAAGAATGTTTTATACTGGCAATTTTCCCATATCCAATGGAAATTGAAAAGTAGGAAAAGAGAAGCCAAAGCATCTTTATTTTTGGAAAAGAACATTTTAGACACAGATCAATATAAGGGAATGTTTGCCGTCATTTAAATTGCTCTGGAACAATTATGTGGGTTTAATAAATAGACTGCAGATTGGGATTTCTAGTAGTTTCACAAGCATTGCTTGTTGTGGTGTGATGGATCACTTTTATATGGCCTTTCTTGCCACGGTCTTATAACTCCCACCAAACGACTAGGTGGAACTACACAAAAAGGTGCTTATGGCCCGCCAAAGGGATTGGACATCTTGCTAATAATGCAAATAAGGTCCACAGAAGGCTAACAGAGGGATTGGTTAGTTTTGTCATCCTGCTAGGCTTAAAATGAGCCATCTCAGAGGCGAACAAAGGAAGATCACCACTACCAAAAAGAGGAGTGCTAAAGGGGCAAGCAGGTGGCATCTTTTCACCTCCACTAACTACACAAGAGGAAGATAGATAGGTGATTCATCAGTACCCCAAGTCCTGTTCCTATGAGGCCAGACATGCCACCACCCTCCAGCCTTCTAACCAACCTTGACACCAACCATCCCTCCCTCCCAAGGCACCCACCACCACCTTTTTGCTAGGTTTAATAATTCACTGCAGTGGCCACAGAGAACTCACAGATTATGGAGTTTGTTAGGAAAGCAACAGGCTACAATTCAAGTTCAGGAACACGTTCAGGATATAGTTCTTTGATCAGGACAGTCTCTTCTCTGCTGTGCCCTCCGACACACCTCTCTGGCCCTTGGCCTCTGCCTTTGTGGGCCAGGTAAGCCTGCCGCTCTGTCTCATGTCTCTTGGTTCAACTTTGCTGTTTCTCAGCTGGGCGTCTCTCTCAACCAGGTGTCTCTCTCAGCTAGGCATCTCTCTCAGCCAGCAGTGAGATTCCCCCCTGCCTCTAGGAAGGCTCATTTTAAGCCTGGCAGAGTGGCGAAACTAACCAATCCTAACATCAGAGTTCTACACACCTGAGAGAGAGAGAGAGAGAGAACTTTCCCAGAAGATTATTTCATGCTGCGCTAACAGAAATACTCCAGGTGGATGACTTCAACAATCAGGAGTTTAAAAGCAGCTACTCAGTTGTTCACAGCAAATTCCACCACAGACTTAATTCAGTTTCACAATAGGGAATAACTACTATCAGCTGCCCAGCCAAGTTGACATATATTTGTATGGTCCTACCCAGTAATCCGGTGGGAGTTACAAAGACTATCACTAGAAAAGCCATACCCTGTAATTCACTACACTGCAGGGAGACAGGAGCAGAGAGTGTTCTTTGGACCTGGGTCTCTGCACTGAGAATCTCCTAGACCCAGGATAGAGAGAGAGAGAACTGTTAACACTGGAGATGGCACAAGATGGTAAGAAGTGGCGTCAGAGAAATGGTAAGAGCAGAGCCAGAAGACTGGTGTGAGACTGTGCAGTGGGCTTCCTGGCCCACGGAGCAAGGTGGTTACAGTGGGTACACTGACCCACAGAACAAGAGAGCTGAGTACCTTCAGGCAAGAGGCCTATTGGTAGAGCTAGGGGCCCCTGAGCACTTACTGGAAGAGCTGAAGCATTTTTTAACACTTGCCCAAGAAGAGCAGAGGCCAAGCTGAGAACCTGAGGGGTCAACGGCCAGAGAGAGGCCTGTCTGCAGATATCGCTGAGAAGAGGCTGTCCTGACTGAAGAATTGTATCCTGAGTTGTTTCCAATCCTGAATTGTAACGTGCTACTTCCCTAAAAAACCCCATAATTGTGAGTATTGTCTGTGAGTTCTATGTGGCCACTGCAATGAATTATTGAATGCAGCAGAGATGTAGAGCGTGCCATGGGAGGGACAGCTGGCTCAGAACTGGGAAAGAGCTTGGAGAGAAGAGGTGTGTCTGGCCTCGCTCCTTAGGAATCACCCTCGGGCTGATGCCGATGGTGATTCTCTTTTCCCCTTGTGAAGTTACTGAGGAGGCAGCCACACCATTTTTACACTAGTAAGATGGTACTTAAAGGCTTCTCCAAGAGCCATACTTCACTGTCTCAGGAAAAATTCTCCTGCCTTTACCTAGATGTTTTACTGTGAGCAGATATACATGAAAGAAGCTCAGGAAATCAACACCAGGGTTGTAGTTTAATGTCAGGGATATTCTTGCATTTTCTACACCATCAGCAAATTCACAAAGTCTTCTCAAAAGATCAAGTTTAAAGACCTCTGAGATAGGAATATCCCAGCCTAAAACTAAGACACTTACTGAGGCATTATCTCTTCAAGAGGAAAAACCAGGACCATGGAGAGATGCAGGATTTCCATTTCACTATGGGTAATAGTTAGGGGAAGGTAGCACATTACTTACTCAATCACTCGTGGCTCCGGGACTCTGCGCACTACCTGTAAGGAAACAGGCAGATCTTACTTCTGGAATGACATCTAATCCCCAGGGAGGCTTACTAGTAGGACAGGATAACCATATCCTCCCATTTCTGGTCAAAATAAATCAAGTTTAAAACTCTCTCTTTTTATTTCATGCTCTCACTGTATAGTGATCTCACCAGAGACCACTATTTCTGCTCTTCTTATAACCACTTCATACTTGCTGATGGGCAGTAAATCTGATACAATTAGAACTAATGCATTTTCCTAGCAGCTAGCAGTTCTGAAAAAACATTCTTTATAGGAAACTGAATAAATAAATGAGGTATTATAAAATAAGGGATTTCAATAATTATTTATATCATCACTACAGCAAGATGCTAGATTTTTAGGGTTTTTAGTTTTTTTTAATCCATGCTATTAAAAAACAGAATACACAAACTACCCAAAATGATATAAGACAATATATAAAATCTTAACAGACCATGACAAGAGGTTGAATCAGTAATCAAAAATCTTTCAAATATAGAAAAATTCAGGACTTCACTAGTAAATTCTACCAAACATTTAAAGAAGAAATAACACTGATTCTTCTTAAACTCTTCCTAAACATAGAAGAGGAGGAAACATTTCTTAATCCATTCTGTGAGGCCAGCATCACCCTGATACCAAAGGCAGATAAAGACACTACAAGAAAACTATAGACCAATATCCCTTATTATTATAGATTCAAAAATCTTTAAGAAAACACTGACAAACTAAACTCAACAGCATATTATAAGGATGATACAACATGACCAAGTGGGATTTATCATAAGAATACAAGGGCTGTTCAAATGAGGAAATTAATCAACGGAATACACCCTCACGTGAATAGAATGAAGGAAAAGAACCACATGATCATCTCAACTGATGCAGAAAGGTTATCTGACAAAACCCAACACCCTTTCACGATAAGAATGCTTAGCAAACTAGAAATAGAAAGGAAACAATAACATGATAAAGAGCATTTATGAAAAACTCAAGCTAATGTGATAATCAGTGGAGAACTGAAAACTTTCCCCTTAAGATCAGGAACAAGAAAAGGATGCTCTCTATCACCACTGCTATTTAAGACCATTCTGGAAGTCAGTTCCAACACAGAGTGACCCTACATAGAACAGAATGAAATACTGCTCGGTCTTGTGCCGTCCTTATAATTGTTACTATTGGAGCCCATGGTTGCGGCCACTGTCAAGCCACCTTGTTGAGGGTCTTGGCCCACGGCTGCGGCCACTGTCAAGCCACCTTGTTGTGGGTCTTCCTCCTTTTGCTGATCTTCTGCTCTACCAAGCACGATGCCCTTCTCCGGGGACTGGTCTCTCCTGATAACTCATCCAAAGTATGTGAGACAAAGTCTTGCCGTCCTCACTTCTAAGGAGCATTCTGGCTGTATTTCTTCCAAGACACATTTGTTCATTCTTCTGGAAGTTCACGATATAGTCAATATTCTTTGCCAACACAACTCAAATGCATCGATTCTTCTTTGGTCTTCCTTTTTCACCGCCCACCTTTCACATGTATATGAGGCAACTGAAAACTCCATGGCTTGGATCAGGCAGATCTTAGTCCATCTTGGCTTTTTCTTTTTTTAAAGAGAAAACACTGTAAAGAGGTCTTTTGCAGCAGGTTTGCCCAACACAATACATTGTTTGCTTTTCTGACTGCTGCTTCCATGGGCCTTGACTATGGATCCAAGTAAAATGAAACCATTGACAATGTCAATCTTTTTTCAGTTTATCATGATGTTGTTTATTGGTCCAACCAAAAAGCCAGATTCTCTGCTGTCGAGTTGGTTCTGACTCACAGCGAGCCCTCCTTGGGTTTCTGAGGTGGTATCTCTATGTAAGTAGATTGCCCAGTCTTCCTTATGAGGAGTGGCTGGTGGGTTTGAACTGCCAGCCTTCTGGTTAGCAGTCAAATGCCTTAGGCACTACACCACCAGAGCTCCTTTTTATTGGTCCAGTTGTGAGGATTTATGTTTTCTTTTGTTGAGCTTAATCCATACTGAAATCTTTAATCTTCATCAGTAAGGTCCATTTCACTTTCAGTAAGCAAGGTTGTGTCATCTGCATATCACAGGCTGTTAATGAATCTTCCTCCAATGCTGATGCTGCATTCTTCTTCATATAGTCCAGCTTCTCAGATTATCTGCTAAGCATACAGATTGATTAAGTATGGTGAAAAGGATACATCCATGACATACATCTTTATTGATTTTAAACAATGTAGCATCCCATTGTTCTATTTGAACAATTGCCTCTTGGTCTATGTACAGGTTCTGTATGAGCACAGTTAAGTGTTTGAGAATTCCCATTCTTTGCAATGTTATCCATAATTTGTTATGATCCACATACTGAATGCATTTGCAGAGTCGAGAAAACACAGGAAAATATCTTTCTAGTATTCTCTGCTTTCAGTCAAGGTTCATATGACATGACCAATGATATCCCTTCTTCCACGTCTTCTTCTGAATCTGACTTGAATTTCTGACAGTTCTCTGTTGGTGTGCTGCTACAATCATTTTTAAATAATTTTTCAGCAAAATTTTACTTGCATATGATATTGTTTGATAATTTCTGAATTCTTTTGGATTTTTCTTCAGATGGGTGCAAAAATGGATTTCTTCTGGTTGGTTGGTCAGGCAACTGTCTTTCACGTTTCTTGGTATAGATGAGTGAGTGCATCCAGTTTTGCACTCATCTGTTACAACATCTGAACTGATACTCATTCTGTTAATTCCTGGAGCCTTGTTTTTCACCAGTGTCTTTAGTGCAACCTGGACTTCTTCCTTCAGTATCATCAGTTCTTGATCATATGCTACCTCCTGAAATAGTTGAACATTGACCACTTCTTTTTGGTACCATGACTGAATATTCCTTTCATCTTCTTTTGATGTTTCCTGTGTCATTCAATATTTTGCCTATAGAATCCTACAATATTACAACTTGAGGTTTGAATTTTTTCTTAAGTTCTTTCAGCTTGACAAACAGCAAATCTATTATTTCCTTTTGGTTTCTAACTCCAGGTCTTTACACATTTCATTATAATACTTTACTTTGTTTTCTTGAGCTGCCCTTTGAAATCTTCTGCTTAGCTTTTTTACTTCATCATTTCTTCCTTTTGCTTTAGCTATTCTACGTTCAAGAGCAAGTTTCAGAATCTCTTCTGACATTCATTTTCGGCTTTTCTTTCTTTCCAATGACCTTTGGTTTTCTTCATGTATGATGTCCTCACGCAGTATGTCTGGTCTTTGGTCATTAGTATTCAACGTGTCAAATCTATTCTTCAAATGATCTCTAGATTCAAGTAGGATATATTCAAGGCTATTCATTGGCTCTTGTGGATTTGTTTTAGTTTTCTTCAGTTTCACCTTGAACTTATATCTGAACAATTGATGGTCTATTCCACAGATGGCCCCTGGCCTTGTTTTGACTTATGATATTGAGTTTGTCCATCATCTTTCCCCAGATGTAGTTGATTTGATTCCTGTGTATTCCATCTGGTGAAGTCCACAAGTACAGTTGCTGTTTATGTTGTTGAAAAAAGGTATTTCCAGTGACTAGGTTGTTGATCTTGCAAAATTCTATCATGTGATTGTCGGTGTTGTTTCTATCACCAAGCCATATTTTCCAATAACTGATACTTCTTTTTTTCCAATTTTGCATTCCAAACACTAATCATTATCAATGCATCTTGATTGCACCTGGAAATCCTAGACAAAACAATTAGGTGATAAAAAGACATTGGAAAGGAGGAAGTAAAACCATCCCCATTCACAGATTATGTAATCCCATATATTGAAACCGTAAGAAAGCTACTAAAAACAAAACAAAAAACAAACAAAAAAAAAGAAAGCTACCAGAGCTAATAAAAGAATTCTGAAAAATTCCAGGGTATAAGATGAACACACAAAAATCAGTTGTTTCTGTAGATCAGCAGTGAACAAGCTAAAGAGAAAATTACGAAAACAATTCCACTTACAATAGCATTCAAAGGACTAAAATATCTAGAAATAAATTAAACCAGGGAGATGAAAGACTTGTACACTGGAAATTACAAACACTGTTGAAGGAAATTAAAGAAGACCCAAATAAGTGGAAAGATATGCTGAGTTTATGGATTGGAAGACTTAATATTGTTAAAATGTTAATCCTAGGATGACGTACAGTTTCAATGAAACCCCTAACAACATTCCAACAAGGACTTCATCAAAATTCCAATGAGACTTCATCAAAATTAAAAACTTTTGTGCATCAAAGGACTTTAAAGAAAGTGAACAAAGAACCTACAGGACAGGAAAAGAAATATCCGGTAACATTGCATCCAATAAGATTTTAATATCCATGATACATAAAGAACTCTGGCAACCCAACAACAAAAGGACAAACAACTCAATTTAAAAATGGGCAATGGATCTGAATAGATTTTTTTTCCAAAGAAGATATATAAATGGCCAATAAGCACATGAAAAGATGCTCAATGTCATTAGTCAGTAAGGAAATGCAAATGAAAACCACAAGAGATATTACTTCATACTCACTAGGCCCACTATTATCAGAAAAACAGAAAATAACAAGGTTTGAGCATGTAGAGAAATTGGAATCCTCACCCACCATTGGCAGGAATATAGAATGGTTCAGCTACTTTGGAAAATATTTTGGCAATTTTCCACAAAATTGAACATAGAACTCCCACGTGACCCAGCAATTCCACTATTGTGTATATACCCACAAGTCTTGACAGCAGGGACTCAAGCAGATACTTGTACACCAATGTTCACTGAAGCATTATTCATAATAGCCAAAAGGTGGAAACAATCAAGTACCTATCAATAGATGAATGGATCAAGAAAATGTGGTATAGCCACACAATGGAATATTATCCTGCCATAAAAAAGAATTTAAATTTGAATACATGCTGTTACACAGATGAACCTTGAAAACATTATGCTGAGTGAAGTAAATCAGACACAAAAGGATATTGTATGATCCCACTGATAGGAAATACCTAGAATAGACAAATGCATAGATACATTATTAGTGGTTACAGGGCCTGGGAGGAGGAGAAGATGGAGAATTATTGCTTAAAGGGTACTGAGTTTCTTTTGTGGGGATGAAAAACTTTGGGAGATAGCGGTGATGACTGTACAACATGGTGATTGAAGTATCACTAAAATGTACATTCAAAAATGGTTAAAATGGTAAATGTCTTGTTATCCATATTTTACCACAATGAAATTACTAAAAACAAACAAAGTAAATCTTTACTGGTTCTTACATCTTTTACTATGGAATAAACAAATTTAAAATCAGGCATTTTGCTGTAGGAACGGAAATTTCAACCCAATTCCAGAGATGGCGGCTGCCCCAGCACTGAAGACAGCACGGTTTCAGGCTGTTGGGGCCTGGAGCCAATGCAAGCTCTAGTCACGGCACAGCCCTCCTGCCTCAAAAGCAGGAATAATAGACAATGAATGTAGATTGTGGGCAGACTACGAAGAACTCTCAGACACATTAAGGAACTGGGACTTCACATTTCACTATTATAAAAGTCCTTTCACTCTCCTATTTATTAGTGAATCTATTCACTCACTTTTTATTTGAGTGTCTACTATGTGAATATAGTTTTATGAAGAGATCTTTATTACTGTTGAAAGAGAAATAAGCATTTACCTGCTGGGGTTCTCTGAACACAAACTGTCTGTCAGGCAGATGATGCTCCTGGTTCCTCCAGGTCTGAGAAGGCCTCTGGTGGAGATGACTCCTAGCAGTAGTAGCTGAAGGAAGAGACAGAATAGCCTCAAACCAGGCTAAGCCTGCTTGCATCACCCTCTATCGAGCAAGGGCTAATACAATTCACTTCTAAGTAAGTAAGTAAGTAAGATAACCCCTGTGACATCTAGAAATGATATGGTAAAGTCAAGAGAAGACTTTAACACATACACCGAAAGATCTGAGGGTAATAACTAAAAATGAGAACATCAAAGATCAACACTTAGCCTATCATCAACAAAGTCAAAATATCAGCCACATTTTAAACAATTCCTTAACATCAGTTGAAATAGGAGTCTATTATAAACCAAAAGGATGTGAATAAGAAGAGGATAGTTGTTGTGCGTATCTACAGTCAAATAGGGACACAAACGAGGTCTCCACAGGTTCTCACCTGCTCGTGTGGGGCCAGCCCAGGCTCCTTGCACTCTGGCTCGCTGTCTTTTGTCCCCCATGTTGACCAAACAAGGCTTCTGCTCTTAGCTTTCATAAGATTTCATTCCTGATTCTCAAGCCACACAATGCTATCTTTAAAAAAAAAAAAAAAAAAGTGCTTTTAATTAGAATTGTGAGCTTGCATTAGTGGGCCATCAATAGATTCCAACTGATAGCAACCCTATCACTTGGAATCAACCAATCAGAGTCAGTTCTGACTCATGGCAACCTGGGACAGAGGAGAACTGCCCCAATGGGGTTTCCTAGGGTTGCCATGAGTCGGAATGGACTTGATGACAATGGGTGTGGGTTTTTTTTTTTTTTTTTAATCTACAGGAGCAGATCACCAATTCTTTTCTCCCATGGAGCAGCTAGTGGGTTTGAACTGCCAACCTTTTAGTTAGCTGCTGGGCACTAACCATTGTGCCACTAAGGCTCCTTGAGTTTGGATAACCAACAGGTTAATTGTAACCCTTTCAGACAGAAGAGATGGTTCAATAACAATCAAAGCTTCTCTATAAAATCAGCTTCTGTCACAACATCTCAATCAAGGAGCTTACTAAGTCACTTGGGGCTGCTGGTTTTAATGCTTATTTTTTTGTAACCTTATCATACAATCTCCTTTTCTTTCAAAGTATGTGCATACTGAATATTCTAAAACCAGGATTTATCATAAAGCACATTATTCTTATTGGTCCCTAAGAGAACTAAGGCCACTGAAACATTTCCATTTTCACCTAGAATTGAAAAATAGGCCAAGACTCAGTTTCCTAGTACATTTTTATATTTATATTCCATATTTGTTCAGCTGGCTGTATCAAACTTCCCTGGAGCTTGTTAAACACACTCATATCCAGAAAATCTGATTTGGGATGGGATATAGTCATCTGTCTTTATAATAAACACTGTAGGAGACGGTGATGCGTAAGCACGTAGGGGACCACAAGGGTACATGACTTACCCAAAGTCATTCAGCAAATAAATAGTCGCTAGTTTAACATTCAAAGTTTATTAGGTTCCAGTCTTTAGTTTTTGAAAAAGTCAACTCATAAGATAGTAATACTAACTGGATGCTTCTGCCAATGAAAACTCAGCCCTTAGCAAGGTCAGGAGCAGCACAGCTACAAAAAACAAATGAGGCTCAAGCCACACGTTCCTAATCTACCATCCATTTCTTGATGGGTCTCTCTCAGACAGCTTTATACGTCAAGTTCTCAAACATAACAAGCTCATTTATAGCTTATTTAGACTAATGATCCCCAAGCCTCATCTCCAAACCTTTAGACTCAGTAATATTGAGCTGGACCCAAGAATCTCTATGGTTAACAAATTCCTCCAGGTGCTAAGTATTAATTCTTCTCATTTAATCAATGGGGACATGAGGAGGCTGCCATCTGCCTAAGAGTTAATGGCAGAATCAAATACCAACTCTCCACTCACACAAGATGTGTGGAGGAAACCCTTGTTTAACATTTGCTCTCAACCAAGACCTTAAAAGCTTTTCACTACCATTAGCTACAGTCCCCCGAAGGGGCTACGATCTGCTCACTTCCTCGCTCCATTCGCAGGGAAGCGGTATATGCCCCCCAAAGCAGCCAAGGTGTTGGCCAAGGTATTAGAAAATACAGTCCCAGATCCCCACCTCACCCTGAATTTGTGCGGTTCTAGAATCTGTTTTTTAACTAACCCTACCCTCCACCCCAGCTACCCTTTAGCCAGGTAACGTTTGAGAACCCTGCTGCGGCAAATAAGGGCTCTGGGGCCAGCCAGGGCTCGCTCTGAATACAGCTCCGTCACTTCCCAGCTGCATAACCTGAAACAAAAACTCCACCTTTCTGAGCCACAGTTTCTTCCTCTGGAAACAGGAGAACTGCCCCCTGCCCCTCGTTGAAATACAAATGAAGCAAGCAACGCAGGTGAAAGAGCCTGGTCCTCGGTAAGCGGACCTTACCTAATTTAGACGTTTTTCTTCTTCTAGGAGGCCCAGGATAAGGGCCCCGAGACTACCCGAGAAAACCTCAGATGTGGCTCCTATATCCCCACCCTGGGCACCCCGCGGGAAGCAAGGAGGCTGCACCTGCGGGCAGGGCCGGGGACGCAGATCTAAACCTCGGTACTCCAGCGGCTCCGCACCACCGGACCCCACCCGCCGCCAGCGGCCTGGGGGACTCTAAGTTGAACAGGACATCGGTTCCGTAACTACCAACCAGAGGGCGCAGCATCTGGCACTTCCTCCTGAAGGCGGCACCGGCGCCACCGCCACTTCCGGTGTTACAGCCGGGCATCCTCGCATCTCCGAATCCCCGCTCCGGGAGGGCCGAGCTGGGGGAGGTACCGATGAAAGGGCCCAGACTGGAGGGAAGGACCGGAATTGAGGGTGCGGTGGAACTCAGTGAGGGGCATGGGTATGGGAATGAAGACGTGTTTGCTAGGCAAGTGAGCACCCCGGCACTGAATACGTCCAAGCGCCAGCATTTCTGGTCTGTCCAGAAAGAACAACCAGGTCCCAGCGGGGCTGGGGTGAGGACGATGTGGTTGGGAACCAGGTTTTGATACGCTAAGCATAATAAGCTTGAAATTTATCCTGAAAGCTATTTTAGGAGCGCCTAAGATGTGCCTCCATTGTGGTCCCACTGCGGCCTGTGCATACCTCTACCATAACACTTAAAATAACGCATAGGTCCAAGCCTTTTTCATCTTGGCTCCCTAGTGCTAAGCACAGGGTCTGTATAATAGGCACTCAGAAATTTGAGTGAACAGACCTGAGTTTCAGTCCAGACACCACCATTTACTAGGTATTCATCTAGGGCAAGTATTCTGCTTCTTCATAAAGTGGGCATCGTTCCTCTTAGGAGGATTAAATGAGATAATGCATGTAAAGAATTTAGCACAATGCCTAGCACACAATAGCTCAATGCATGTTAAAAGTGCCTTTTCTAGCCCATCTATGAGTTGTTGAAAGTTATCTTTAAAGTGACTATGTTAAACATGTGTGTACCTTAAAATGTGAAAAATGTTTTGTTGTTCAGCAAAAATAGCACTGAATTAACTAGTCTGTGCATTTCCCTAAGATCTACCAAACCATAGTTTCTGTGAAACTCTTTAAATGAACCTTGTGTTTCAGGTAGGGTTGACGTGCAGGAAGCAGGTACCCCATCAATGTATCTGTATTGTTGCTAGTATCAAATCCAAGTCACAGCAACCATTATTCTTTGTGATTTTCTGCCACATTGAAGGAAAAATGACTTACCCTAGAACAGAAAGGAGAGAAAGTGGTAAGGCCAGACTAATTTTTATATTTTTTACTTTTTTTTCATGAACTAATCATTTATCAATGTCTGCTTCTGGCTCAGGAACCTTGGCTGTGTTTTGCAAAAGATGTCATTTTTTTCTTTTCAGTGATTATGATTTTGGAACAGAGTAAAGAAGACTGGATTGAGGAGTCCCTAAATGTAGTAATTAACACCTCCTCAGCCTCAAGTGGAACATTTCAAAAATCAATCCATGCCTCTGAAATTCTTTCATTTTAAAAAACAGAACAAAGCAGAACAACCCGTGTTTTTATCAAATGCCCAAGGTTATTCTGAGACACCAGAAGTTTAAACACCTCCGGGGTACATGTTGGGTAATAAATTATCCCAGCTTGCCTGGGACTGAGAGATCTCCCAAGATGTAGGACTTTAAGTGCTGAAACCAGGACTGGCCTGTGCAAATTGGGATGGCTTCTCACCACATGTGTGAATAGTATTAGTATTAGTAAGTATTAGTATTATTAATTATTAATTATTAATATTATTATTATAGTATTAGTAAGATGCTTTTGGCATCCAGAGTTTCCTCCTTTCTGTTTGTAGTTCTTGTGTTTTTATTGGGGGTGGTAGGAGTTGGTGGTGGTTTATGGAGACCATAGAGAGGAATGAAGGATAGGTGTGTGTGTGCCAGATAAACTATTCTTTTGATAATAGGTTCTGGCTTGCTATTGAGCCTTGGTTAGTATTGAACACCTAATGATGAATGATGGGACATTAGGTAACCTGGTGGCTTGAGCATCCCATCATGATCTAGGTATTCCCTGACTCACCTATCCCTAAAGTTGGGGGTATGCAGTGGCAATCTGTTATCAGTGGAAACAGTGTATAAGAGACTGATCTCCAGCAGGTCCAAAAAGTATGAGTAAGTTGCATGAGCAGGTGGATTAAACTTCTTCATCTTGACTCCGTTGTATTGTTTCTTCTACCACAATTTGTGTGTATAGCCTCATGGGGTGTGCCAACTGACCAAATAACTGGTTTACAGATGTCCTTTTTTACAGTTGGATCTGCATGTTAGTCCCACCCTAAAGTGGATAACTGCAGCCCCACCCCTTGATGGAGAGTAGTGAAGGATAATCTTCCCAGTGGGTAGAACCTCAAGTATATTTGGTTGTTCACTTTATCTTTAGTGGGAGATGGCCAGAAGTAAGATCTATACTAATTAAGACATCTAGGTAAAACGGGCAGGAAGCAAGGCTAGGCCCCCAAGCCCCCTAGAGCCAGGAAAGGGAGGGAGCAGGAGAGGCCAGGGACCTCAGGAGCGGCAGGATCCAGGTAAAGGGGCGGGAGGCAAAGCTAGGCCCCAACCCCCTAGAGCCAGGAAAGGGAGGGAGCGGCCAGGGACCACAAAGTGGCAGGTTCCAGGTAGGAATTAGGTAAGGGGAGGGCTCAGAGGTTTCCAACAGCTAAGGGAGACAAACTTGTCTGTCAGTTTCTCATCCTGTGGGGCTTGTATGTTGTGAGGCTTGAGGCTGTGTCAATGGTGTTTCAGACACCAGCAGAGTTGCACATGGTGCACAGGTTTCAACACAGCTTACAGACTAAGACAGACTAGGAAGAAGGAGGAGGCCATCCACTTCTCAAAGAATTGGCCAGGGAAAACCTTATGAATACCAGAGGAACTCTGTCTGACACATTACTGGCATCTTTATGAATAGCTTAGAAACATTGTCTGACACAGTGCAGAAAGATGAGCCCCTTGGGTCGGA